GCGACGGGTCCCGTTTCCATGGGAAGCCGCGGATTTCTGCCGTCGAGCGAGGCGACACCGACCGCAATTTGGGGAGGGCACCTCCCCCGATCTATGGATTTGGCGACCACGCGCCAAATCCATGGATCGCTAATCCATGTTTGCGCGCCCCCGACTGGATCAGCTTGCGAAGAAGACACGCGCGACATCGAACAGATGCACGGGGATGGACGTCCGAGCGACGGCAAGTGATCTTCTCAGGCGGTTTGGCAAGGGTTGGCGGCTGGCCGGCTTCGGGGCTCAAGAGACGGGGATCTGTGCATCTTTTTGATAGCAAACAGATGCAACGTACAGTCAACCCGCATAAAAAGGATCAGCGGCTTTCCAAGGCTACACTTGCATACTTTCTCTTCGGCCCATCCTCGGCCGCTTTCGCTGGCTGCGCCCCGCTCGCAAATTGCCAGCATGGTCTTCCATGGTCCTTGGATCCTTTTTGTGCGTCCTTATTATACGGGCTGGCTGTACGGCCCAGGGCATGCGCGGGGTGGGTCGCGGGTGGGTCGCGGGTGGGTCGTGGGTGGGTCGCGGGGCAGGTCGCGAGTGGGACAACGACAACTAACAGCAACAACGACGACAACATCATCAACAACAACAACACCAACAATTAACATCAGCAACAATGACGACGACGACGACAATCACAGCAACAACAACAAAAACATCAGCAGCAACAACAACAACAGCAACAGCAACAACAACAACAACAACAACAACAACAACAACAACAACGACACCAACACCAACAACAATACCAACAACAACCAACATCTACACCAGCACCAGCATCAACCAACACCAACATCAGCAACACCAACAAAAGCACAGGCAACAATAGCAGCACCAACAATTACAACAATCCGCACTGTGGAACCCCACTTCAGCCACGCACCCGGGGACCGTGAGTGAGTGATCGGCCCTTTTACTCGGATACCGTACGGCCACCCTCCCAAGATGAGCCCAGAGAGAGCTCCAGTAGGCCATCCTGCCAGGTCTTGCAGGATCCTGCAGAGCCAGGGTTACGCTGACCCGGGCTTGCACGCAGGATCCTGCAGCATCTTGCGGGATCCTGCAAAGCCCGGCCGACCCGGGCTTGCATTGACCCGGGTCAGTTCGTCCCCGAGGCGGTTGGCCGTCTCCCGAGGTGGCGGCAGCGATCCCAGGAGCTGTCTTTCAGCGGCGAGTCCAGGGGGGAAGTGAGAAGGGGCGGGCCTCCTTACAAGGCTCGGAAGTCCCCTGGCCTTCCGAGACGTTTTTTGAGCTCTCCCCGAAGACACGGAGGGCCTCCCAGAAAGCCTCCTGAGAAGCCCTTGCTGGCCTCTGTGAGAAGGCCCCCTTTCTCCCTCTCCCTCCCCCCCCTCGCGCGCCGCCGAGCACGGGCACAGGCACCGACACAGACAGACACAGACACAGACACAGACACACACACACACACACACAGACACAGACACACACACAGACACACACACACACAGACACAGACACAGACACACACACACACACAATCACACACAACACACACAACACACACACAGACACACACACACACACACACACACTTGTGGGAACAACAACTCACATGAGAAAAAAACATCACAAGACAGCTCGCCGCTTGGGCCCCACCGCCAGCCCAAACGGTGAGCATAAATCAGGCACAGCCCCGCACGCATTCGAATGCCCACACTTCGTCTTCGTACTACTCGTATTTCTCCCCATCCTCCTTCCCATCCTGATCGTCGTCGTCGTCCTCCTCCTCGTCCTCCTCATCATCCTCGTCTTCTTTCTGCCCCAGCTACTCCTCGTCGTCCTCGTCTAAGACCTCGTCCGCGTTTCTCCTCTTCCTCCTCCTGCTCATCCTCCTTCTCCTGGCACCTAGGTTGCGCCATAGGCTACGCTGTAGGGTGTGCCTTCGGCGGCCGAGAAGAAACCGGTCTCCTATCGGTTGCGCCATAGGTCGCGCCCTCGGCGGCCGAGAATACAACCGTCTATGTATAGTTGCACCATAGGTTGCGCCCTCGGCGGCCGAGAATACAACCGTCTCCTATCGGTTGCGCCATCGGTTGCGCCCTCGGCAGCAGAGAATAAAACCGTCTCCTATCGGTTGCGCCACAGGTTGCGCCCCCTGCGGCCGAGAATAGAACCGTCTCCTATCGGTTGCGCCATAGGTTGCGCCATCGGTGGCCGAAAATTCAACCCTGGTGGCCGAGAATCCAACCGTCTCGTAACGGGTGCAGTCAGCGCAGTTCAGTTCACCTCGCGAGAAACAATGTCGGGCTACGCCCGAGAACATACATAGAAAAACACACATACATGCGCACACAACACATCACACAACACAACACAACGCACAACGCACAACACACAACACACAACATACAACGCGCAACACGCAGCACACAGCACGCAACACACACACACACAACAAAAGCACAATACGCAACACGGATTTGATACACAACACGCAGCACACACACAAGCACACGCGCACACGCACACCTGTGTGTGTGTGTGTGTGGGTGTGCTTTTGCTCTGCGTCTGTGTACGCTCTTTCCGCAGACCTCTTCTCGGCACCTTCTGGCGGAGCCCTCCCCAGCATGGGTGTGTGTGTGCGTGTGTGTGTGTGTGTGGTTTTCTCTGCCGCACCGCGCGCCGCGATCGTCGGCGAGCGGCGGCCCACCAGAGAGGCCTGTCATCCGGTTGGGCGGGCGATGGCCCCTGGCGTGTGCGGCCGAGCCCCTCCCCCATACCCGGTGGCACCCCCCGGACCCCCCCCCCCCCCACACCCCGCTGCAGGCGTCCTCTCGGTCCTTGCCCTTCCTCCCCAGACCCCCTCGGGCCATGAAGAGAAGTCATGACGGGAGGTTTTCCCAGATCTTCGGCTGCTGGGCGCCCTTGCCGGGCCTCGGGACCGTCAGAAAACGACTCGGGATGAAGCCTGGTCCCAAGGACTGGGTCGAGACTTCTGGGGGTCGACGGGGGTCTGTGAAGGCCCCTTCCCCTTCCCCGACCCCTTCCCCAGAGGGTCCGCCAGAGTGAGGCATCTCTCTGCAAGATCCTGTGGACCCAGAGATCCGACGCTCCAGCAAAGATGGGAGCGGGCGGCGTTTGACCGTTTTAGGCCTCTGGGGGCCCTCGTCGGGCCTCGGGAGCGTCAAGACACGACCGATCGGGACGAAAAACCGGCCCTGGGGAAGTGGTCCGGACCTCTGGGGCCCACGCACCGAAAGAATGGAAGCAGCTGGATGTCTGGGGCGCAGGATCCTGCAGGAGCCTGCAAGGCCTGACTGACCTGGGCTTGCACTGGCCCGGGCCAGCGGATCCCGGATGGATCGACTTTTGAGAGCCCCCGGGTCCGCGACGGGGCCCGGAGGGCCGGAAGCATCGGAGCACGGAGCGAGGAGACGAGAAGCGGCGTTCTCCGTAGCCACTTTGGCTCCAGCCCTTCTGAGCGCTAGAGCACCGTCGCTGCCCCCTCGGCCTACCAGAAGCGAGACCGAGAGCAGCGCCGCGATGGCCGTGTGCATGTCGGCAGACGGTGCCGAGGAGTCCGCGAACGCTTACGCCGCCTGGCTGATGGCCACTGCGGGGGAGGCCGCCCAGTGCCAGCAGTTCTGGCAGGACCACCACGCCGCCTGGGCCGGGGGCGAGGACGACGAAGGGGCCGGTTCCCCAGGCGCTGGCGGAGCCGACGGGGGCGCCTGGCCGCCGCCGTCCCCGCCGTTTGGCGTGGACCCCAGCTCGCAGTGGCCCTTTGCGCACAGCGACCGCCGGGCGGCGGCGGCGGCGGCCGCCGCGGCCGCCGCAGCTCGCCCCAAGCGCCGCTTCTGCGTGTCCTTCCCCAACGTGGGCGCCTGCCGGAGAGGCACGGCCTGCACGTTTGCGCACACCCGCGACGAGATACAGACGCCCCTGCTGGACATCAACGAGGAGCAGCAGGAGCCCTCATCGTTGACAGACAAGTTTTTCCTTCAGCGGTACAAGACTCTCTGGTGCCCTTTCGGGGCGCAGCACGAGTGGCACAACTGCGTGTACGCGCACAACTACCAGGACGCTCGTCGACCCGTGTCGATCGGTTACGGCCCCCGGCTCTGCCCATGGTGGGGAAAGAAGGCCACGGGTTCGGAGTACTCGCAGCGCTGTCCGCTGGGGGTCCGCTGCCCGCACTCCCACGGGGCGAAGGAGCAGCTCTACCACCCCCATTTCTTCAAGACGGCCATCTGCCGCGACCTGCACGGCAAAGACTGCCCGCGGCACCCACTGTGCGCCTTCTGGCACAGCCGGGCGGAGCGCCGGAAGGCGCCGCCGGACGGCGTCGACTACTCCAAGCCGCTCCCGACCGAGGCGCTGCCCAGAGAGTGGGTGGCCGAGTTCTCCCAGCTGCCCTTCCTGCCCGACCCCCAGCGGGGCCGGCCAGAGGACGCATCTCTGAGCGACTGGGACGCCGACGCCCACTGCGCCGCCGCGTTCGCAGAGGCCCAGCTCCAGGCCCTCGAGGCCGGCCAGTTCTTCGGAGCCGCGGGCATGGAGGACGCGCCATGGAGCACCGGCTGCTGGGGACTCCCCGGGCTCCAGTCCGGGGACGACCTGCAGAACGCAGCGTGGTTCCACAATTCGATGTAGCACTTCCGTAGATGCAGCCCCCAGGTGTACATACGACGCTGCTGCCGCTGGGGAGATACCACCGGCCGCGAGTCTGGCCTGCTCGCTCGGCTGCTTACCTCTGGCCCCCCTCATCTGCGCTACTCGCCCCACGCCCGCGCTTCCCGCTCCTCTCCCGCCTATTCGTCCTCCGTTCTCCTTTCTCTCCTTCACTTGACTTCAATCTGAACCGATGTGTCCATCAAGTGTGGAGTGGCTCAAGACGCCCCCTCGACGAGGGCACTGACCTCACATCGAGGAGCCGCCCACGGCCTGCGCTTTCAATGTTGCAGTGGCGGCGCCGGACCAGTTGCATCCCAGGCTCATTAGCTGTGCGCGATGTCGCCCACGCCGCTTGCAGCAGCCACCGGTCTTCTTGATTGACTCTGTGTCTCGATGGCCTGGTCGGAGGTCCACACGCCGGTGCTTGCGGAAGCAGAGGGCGGGCACATTTGAAGTGGAGCCGCTCGCCGCGCCAGCCGCTGTGGACGGGCACAGCACGTGCCCGGTGGACGGGCACCGCACCTGCCCGGTGGACAACCGCAGTGCGCGATCTCCTGGAGGCCGAGCGCCCCCTGGAAGGACAGGCCGGCGGCTCCGAGGTGGGGGCGCTCCGAGGTCTCCCCCATCCTCGCCCGGCCCGCCCTTCCATCGGCGAAGGAGAAAGCAAGGCAAAAGGAGAGGCAGGAGGTGGAGGGAGGGAGGGGAGCCCCCCGCCGCACTGCCGCGGGAGGGCGGAGCTGCTCTGCCTCGTGCGGAGGCCTGGCACAGGTGGGGGAGTGGCCTATAATTACCAGCGGGCCTGCCGGTGTACATACGACTTCCCGGGCCAGCTTGACGCGTGGCGTCGTAGCCAAGTGGCGCTATGTTGTGAAGCCTTGACTGGATATGTACCTTGGACACGCCTAGGGCCACAAGCAACGGTATCTCCCATGCCTTTCTTGGCGAGGGCGTTGGCGAGTGCGCGCGTGAGGGTACATCGTGGAAGCGTGACCTAAAAAAATACCCCAGAGAAAAACTCCACTCAGCGGATGGTCTTAGAATTAGTCTTAGGGATAATTATTGAGATCGATTATGAGATCGGCAGTGAGTTCGATAGTGGCTTCGATCGTGTAGACGATAGTAAGGTCGACCGTGAGACCGATAGTGAAGTCGGTTCAGTGGGATTGATAGTGAGATCGATCGTGAGGTCGCTCGGGCGATCTATAGTGACAGCGACTGTGAGATTGACAATGACATCGATGTGAAAGCGATCGTGAAATCGATAGAGAGGTAGGTAACGAGATCGAGAATGAGACCGATCGATAAGAAGATCGACTAGGAACCCGGGAAACTGAAACCCGGAAGCCAGCAACATCGGCAACCGAAATCGGCCCAGAACCAGCAACGGGGAACCTGGGAACCCGAAACCGGGAACCTGGGAAACGGAGAACCCGGCGGTTTAAGGACATCGGCCTGGAACGTTCGCCAATTCTTTCAATCTCCGCTAGGACCCCTTCAGCGCAAGCATTGATTAGGGGAAAAAATTGCGCTTGAGAAAACCCCAATCAGTGGATGATCCGAAAATTAATATGATGGATCTTGAGATCGATTGTGAGATCAAAAATGAGATCGATAGTGGAATCGAAAGTGAGGACGAGGTCGATCGTGAGACCGAGAGTGTAATCGATTCAATGAGGTCGATAGTGAGATCGATCGCGAGATCGATCATCCTATCTCTAGTGAGATCGATAGGGAGATCGATTGTGAGATCCATGGTGAGGTCGATAGAGAAGTGGGTAATGAGATCGATGGTGAGAACGATCGATAAGAAGATCGACCAGGAACCCGGGAACCCAGGAACCTCGCCGCCCTCCGAAATCGGCCCGGGAACCCGGGATCTCGAACCCAGAACCGGGAACCCGGGAACCCAGCCAGCAACCAAAATCGGCGGGAAAGTTTCGCCAAATCCTTCAACATCCGCGAGGACCCCTTCAGTGCAAGCACTGATGGGGGAAAACGAGAAGCGGCATTCGAGGAATCATACCAGAGAAAAACCCCAATCAGTTGATAGTTTGAGAATTGTTCACCCGCCGCGTATCCCCACCAGCCCGGCCGCTGGTTCACTCAGGAGTAGTTCAGCCTTCTTGATCGACCATGTGTGTTCCCACTGTCGGTCTGCAGCCAAGCACGTTGGACTGTTTATGTAGCCCCGCGCTTCGCCACTTCTGTGGCGCGCCGACCTCTGGCGCCTGGATGCGACACGTTCCAATTCACTCATCCTGGTGGTCTCGTCCCTTGGGTGCCCGCACGCCTGCACAGCTTCCTGGCAGCCCCAGCAGCTCTCGCAGCCTCCGCCCTCGGCGCAGCCTCCGCCCTGCGGTAGCAGCCTCTGCCCTCGGCGCAGCCCAGCTTCCCCCGGCAGTAGGTTTAGCTGTTGCCTGCGCGCGCTGGGCAATTACTTCTGCTCGTAGCCCGAGCCGACCTGTGACGCCGCCGGCGCCTTCGCCTGCGGTTGACACAAAAAAGACCCACCAGCCAATCCCAAAACAGCACATTTTGCAACACACACACACACACACCGGCGGTCGTGATTTTCGGGCGTGTCTCCTCCTGCTCCCGCATATCTCCGCCTCTTCCGCCCACCTCCTACCTACTTTCTGCTATACATTCTTGTGTGGGCAGTGGGGGGAGTACGAGGCGGAGCTGGAGGAAGAGAAGGCGGTGTGCGGAGAGATGAGGATAGCGACGACGAGGGACGCACCCGGCGGCGACGACGATGACGACGGCGAAGACGACGACGACGTCGACGACGACGTCGACGACGACGGCGAAGACGACGAGGACGACGACGACGACGACGACGACGACGACGACGACGACGACGACGACGAGGACAACGACGACGAAGGGGTTTGCCGCTCCTGGCGGCTATGTTGCAGGTCTCTGGGCCCTTTTGGGGTCCTCCTGGTGCCTCTTGGGGCACCCTCGGGGCTCTTTTTGGGGTCTTTGAGGCCACGGCTCGAAAAGGACCGCGGCGCCCCCCCCTTCGGAACCCGAGAAGTCGCCTCTTGGGGCCCCCTTTGGTCCGCTCTTGGGGGCTCTCTTTGGCGCTCTTGGGCACGTCTCCGGCCTCTCTGGGGCCTGTCTTGGGGCTCTCGGGCCATCTTGAAGCCTCAAGAGCCCAGTGAAGCCGAAGGGGCGAGAAGGCAAAACACAGTAATGTTCCTTAGGTTTTCGGGGAATGTTGGCCTCTCGGGGGCATCCTTGGGAGGCTCCGTGGCCACTTGGGACCGCCTTGGGGCGGTCTTGGAGCCTCGTGGAGGCTTGTTAGGAGCTATCTTGAGTCATCGAGGGTTTTCTTGAGCGACCTTGGAGGTCATCTTGAGCTTTCTTGGGCTGTTTTGGCGCCATCTTAGGCCAAAACAGACGCTCCAACCACCCTTGCCCCGCCCCCTTCCAGGCCCAGGGGGAGGGGGTAGGGGGAGGGGTCAAGTTGGCCAGCTCGAACGATCCAGAGGGCTCCGTCCACTCCCACCCGCCCTCCCGCAACATAAGAAGCAAGTGCGTCGCGTCCGACGCCTGTCGCTCATCTTATATCGCGGGCGGCTAGACGTTCAGCGCGCGACATGGGCCGCGTCCTCTTCCTGCCGCGCATTGAGCAACGTCGACGAGAAACAAGACCGCGCGCGATGTACGCCACGCCCAGCTCCGGCCTCTCATGTTGCATCGTCGGCGGCAACATGTCCAGCGCGCGAAGTGCTCCGCGTCTCATTCCAACCACGCGCGTTGCACCGCTAATCGTTTCGCTCCTGCCGCGCATGGAGGTGGGGGAGGAGGATGAAGAGGAGGAGGAGGAGGAGGAGGAGGGGATGGAGAGAGGGAGGGAGGGAGAAACTGAAGAGGAACATGATAATGCCTCTTGGGAGTTCGCGGGGCGTCCTGGGAGCTTTCTGGTATACGCCAGAGGGCCTGTTGGATATATCTTCCGGGTTGGAACATTGTCAACACAAGTAGGTGCGAACCTCCAAATCCTTCAAACACCAAATGAAATAAATATTTGTGCTGCCCCCCAGGACTTCCCAGACGCCTTTTTTCGACCTCTTGGGGGTCTCCTGAGGCACTTGTTTGAACCGCGCATGCTCGAGGCATTCTGACTTGCCGCCCGCCCAGCTCCTCAACCCGACGGGCCGCAGCGTCGACGACAAGAAAGCCCATGTTGACGAGCAGGCGTCCCCGCGCGATGCGCGCAGCGTCCCATTCACGCTACGCGGTTCGCAGCGCCGACGAGGAGAAAGTACATTCGCAAAGCAATACGTCGACGCTGTTGCGTTTTTAACACGACTGTCTTTATACGTGTATATATATATATATATATATAAATAGGTATGGCGCGACCACCCGCTTAGGGCCTCCCAAGCGACGCCCATTCCGTACCATTCCTGCTACACTTTTCGCATTTCGACGACACGCTGGCGAGAAACAAATTGAGTTTGCATTTTGTTGACAATTCGGACGGCGGGGCTTCCATCGGCCGGCTAGGTGGGGATGTGGGGGTGTGTAATCATACGAAGTAAGGATGAAACCCTCCCCGAAGGTGAAGAGGGGGTTGGAACAGAACGGGCTCTCTGAACCACCTCCGCCCAGAGGGCTGGTGGGATTAACCTCGTGCCCGTGAGAATAAACACTAGGGGATAATAAAGTTCGGGGTTCAGGGAGAGATAATAAAAGTAGCCCAGCAGACCTCAGCATAATCTCGAAGTAAGAGATGATCAAGAGGAGACCAAGCCGAGCACGTTTTGAGACATCCTTGGCGTTTAGTTTTCATAGAAATATCCTCAACAATGGCTTATATCTCATGAAAATTCTCATTTTTTTGTAAGTGCTCGCGTAGGGTAGCTCAGGTGCCTCAGTTTCCATGGATAATCAACCCCAGAGATAAACAAGTTCAGGCGAGCGTGGGGACAGAGAGAAATATAAAAGAAGAAGAGGATAATAAGAAGAGGACGAAGAAAGGAAACATCCAAAGTTCCAAATCTATCAATTTTAATTTACAAGCGCTTTATGAGAATTGTTTATTTAAGTGCTCGTGTAGGGTAGATCATGTGCTTCATTTCCCATGGATAATCAACCCCAGGGATAAAACAGTTCAGGCGAGCGTGAGGACAGATAGAAGTATAAAAGAAGAAAAGGAAAGTATAATAATAATAAGAACATTGCTCGTTTCGTTTGAGTCTGCCTCCCAAAATTATTGGTTTCGCTTGACACATCCTGAAAAGTGTGATCGCATCGCTTGATGTTGCTATATCAACATCGCTTGATGTTGTTATCTCAACATAGCGTTTCGAGGTGATAATGAAGTTCGGCCTCAGCGCTCGCCGCTCAATTTGAATTTTGTATAGGGCGACGATAATCAACTCTAAACACTGAAGGGGGGGTCCCTTCATTCTCATCGGCATGCGGTTAGTGATTTGGATATTGAAACCGATTGTAAGATCGTTAGTCTTATCGATAGTGAGGACGATTGAAAGGCCTATCGTGAGACCGGTCGCGAAGCCGAATCCATGAAACCGATAGTGGTAGCATTCGTAAGATCGCTCGTGAGATCTATTGTGAAATCAATCGTGAGATCGATCGTCAGATCGATAGT